AGCATCACCTGGGGGGGGAGGAGTGGTGGGGGGGGCACTTAAAAAGTGAAACAACGAGTCCCAATCCCATATCCCGACTCATGCAGTGAGCGCATGAGGGGAGGTGAGGGAGGAAACAACTAACTGACTGATGGATAAGGCGTCAACACGAGGGGGAGGGAGGAGGGGGCGGCGGGGCTCGGTACGGGTAACCAAGTCGGTGGGGGGGGGTACGGCAAGGTGGTGTACGACAGGCAGGCAGGCTGTGCTTCCAACCTGCCGAGGATCCCGCAAGAGCGGTTTTGGTTCCTCGCTTCCTCGCCCCTCCCCCCCCTGCCTTACCTCGTACAGCTGCACCAGCGCGCCCCTGCCCGCTGCGGGTGCCAGCTCCGCGATGTACGCGGGCGACACGGTGGCGCTCATGCCGATACCCAACCCCGTCAGGAAGCGACCCAACACCAGCAGCCTGGTGGGAGAGGGGGTGGGGGTGGGGGGGAGCCGGGGTAAACAGGAAGAACCTGGCTAACCGTATGGCGACATTGACAAGGCGGGTGGACGGGTGGGTGGGTGGGAATGGGGATGGATACCGTACATTCAACAGGCATGGGTTCCAACGGGGAGTAGCGGGAGGCGCTGCAATCACGGTGCTCGCCGCCTCCTGGTGCACGCTGCACCCCCCCCTTGCAGTTCCTTACTCCCCACCCGCAACCCTTCACGTCCCCGCCCGGGTGCCCTAGGGGCGCTCCCCAGCCCTGCCTTGTCAAGCTATACCGGCAGCTGCTACCCACCTCCACTACACTCACCCCTCCTCCCGCCCTCCACTACCCCCACCCCTCACCCCCCACCCCATCAGCGGTTTACATTTACGATTTGCCACGTAATTATATAGATGCTTCTACACTTTACAAGGTTCACAGCTGCACACGCATCAGGATAAGTGTGGGGGTTTAGGAGGGCGGGAGGGGAGGATTTGGAGCTTACAACGACGGACTACGGATCGCGCGCGGCATCGCCACCAAGATCGACGAACAAGCCCATTCACTTCAGCGTACCGTCAACAACGAGACTGGCCGGATATCAAGGTCTTCCAACATCGCCCGATAAGCTTCTTTGAAACGTGACTACTGAAACAGCCAGTCCATACTTTCGGCATCGTCTACGTCAGCGACAGCCAACGGATACGCTCAGCGCAAGTATTCCACAGCCGGCTCCGGCGCCTTCAGCAGGGACGTCGGCAACCTCCAGGAGGCGGTAACACAGGCTATCGCCATACTCGCGGAGCACGGGTATTACCGCGGATACGTATTGCGTGCACGCAAACTGTCATAACACGCATGTCGCTACCTATAGGATCGCATTACGCAATGCCTTGTTACAACCCCCCTCACCCTGCCATACACTAGTCTCCGTTCATGGTCATCTGGTAGGTCTGCACGCCACCATGCACCTAGGTCTCCCACACCTGCAGCCCCGGTGAGCCTGCATGCAATGGCTCGCTTGGGTGACAGGGTTGTTTGGGGAGCCTTGCGAGGCCCTGCCCTGTCATTGTTTTTAGTTGTCATTTCACTGGCATCGCACGTTTTGCACCTTCTCCATATCTAGATCATTATACCCATACTGCGCTTGCGCTTAATTAAGCATGCTCGTCCCATGCCGTACTTCGCATCGCCGCATTTCGCATAAATACTAACTCTCGGCATAGTCCCGTCTCTTTCATCACGATAAGTCAGCCATCTTCATCGTCATACAGCATGCGTCAATATACAGCGCAGCTCGCAGCACCAGCACAGCACAGGGACGCATGCCTGCCTTCTGTTCGCTCGTCGCGCCGCCTTCTTGTGTCTCTGGACGCTTTTCGCTCACTATTAACGAAATTTGGTACGTCTTCGCTGCACAATTTTCCCTTGCTACGCAGGTTAGTCAGGGTTCGGACTAGTGGGTGGGCTGGGCTTTGTTAGACCCATGGGTCATTTGCGAGGGTCGGGCAGGGTGGGATGCTTTGGTGCACACAGCCGCATGACAGCCCCAGCTAAGCAGCGGAGCTTACATACGTTATGCTGCTGACAGCATTGCAGCACAGACATCAGGTCTAGCGCAGTGGAGCCAGTTATCACAGTAGCAGCCGCCTTTTATTCGCCAATGCAGAGTGACTCAGATCACCCCAGCCGCCACGGAGCTTACAATACGGTTTGTTACTGATTGATGCTACTAACTATACAACAACTACAATTATACGCTAACCCAACTATCCAGCCTAATGCGGATTCTGTTTCCATATTAATTACCCCCACCCCTCCTCCCTCCTCCCGCCATCCCTCCCCCCTTCCCCCTTCCCTGGCTTTGCTAATTCGGGCTGGGCGGGTCGGGCTGGCTGGTGACGCCTTATCCCTCAGTCAGTTAGTTGTTTCCTCTTTACCCCTTCCCCCTCCCCCTCACCACGGCGCCCACGCCGCCGCCATCACCAGTGGCCCCACGCAGAACGCCAGGCTGTTCAGCCCCAGCGCCGCCCGCCTGCCGTACACCGACATGGCCGCCCCACCCAGTGCCGTACCGCCCACCGCACCCAGCTTGGCAGCCCCCACGATCAGCTCCAGGGTGAGGGAGCCGTGCAGCCGGAAGTACGACTGGATCTGAGGAGGGGATGGGGTTGGGGAAGGGAGTACACAAGTAACCCAGATGCGCTGATTCCGCGAGTGCGAGCCCGGCCGTACTGCCTCAACGTGCGTTACTGACAAGAGGCAAAGCCAGCATGCCGACCTGCGCAGCGCATGGCGCTGACGGTCCCACAGCCCGGAGGGGTATGGCTCGTACGGCACACGGTGAATACCGTTATGTACGGCATATACGGCCCCACCTGCAGCAAGGCGCCGCCGATGAGGCCCAGGTCATACCTGCGGGAAGCAGCGAATGCAGGAGGTGGGAGGTGGGAGCGGACGACTGGTTAGGTGTTGTAGGGTTGAGGCTGCGGGCTGGAAGTATGTGTGAGGCAGGTGGGGTCACAGGGTCAGGGGGGGAAGGGAAAGGCGAAGAGCTGCAGTGCTGCTGCATCAGCAGTTGCAGGAATGATGTGAGAGTTGGAGCTTTGGAGGTGGAGTACAGTAGAGTCTGAGTAGGGTGCCTTGATGGGGCTTGCACAGCGTGGTACGTGGGGCGACAAGAAGAATTCCTCCAAGGTACACCGTCAAGCTTTTTCTATTTTGAATGTATAGCAAAACGTGCATGGTCTATGGCGGCATAACATAGCATCTGGGAGGCCTAGACTACAGCAGACTACAGCATTGCAGCATGAAGGTCATCACTCCAGCCGTCATAAGCCATACCGTACCCGAATAAGAAGCCACCAAGGGCCGCAAATAGGCATATCCGAAGCAGGACCATTAGGTACCTAACTGTTGCTCCCTTCGCTTGCGATGGCGCACAACCTGGAAAGCATAGCCTAATGATTTTATACTGGTGTCATATTTGCAAATAAGCAGGTGCTTGGAGTGGGTAACCATGGCATCTTCTGTCGAGGCATTTGTCAACGGTTGGAAGCTATGCGACGTTGTTCTCTGCTGGCCGTCGGCTCTCAGGCTGTCCAATACGCGGCCAAGCGTAATGTATATAACATTGTAAACGAATGGCCTTCTCTGGATTCCCACGCGTAATATTGGAATATGCCGTACGCTACCGGTATGCAAGCCGTCTGTGCATCCTCCTAGGGAGACATGGACGGGTGGCCAGACCACGTATAGTAGCAGTGGTTTGAAGGTTGCGGATGCGTGCCTTCAAACCCGGCACGGCAAGGATGTAGGGTAACACCTGGGCTGCCTGAGGAGGCAGGACAAGGCGAAGACTCTTCCCATGTTGCAGAATGGTCTGTTGAGGCCTGAGCGCCGGCCAACTTGGCTGAGGATGCTTTGTCGTACCACACAGGCTCAGGGTTGCCTGGGGCTGCCGAGGCCTCAGGTTCACATTAGACGACCTCCAACGGACTTCCCTGTGCTTCCCCAACCCTTCCCATGTTGTGAATTGGTTTAATGAGGTTTGCGCACGGGCCGACCTGGCTGAGCAAGTGAGCATGCTTTGTCGTATGGCTTGTGAGGTGATCTTGGAACGCAGTCGGCGCTTCCCTTACGCTGTACACTTGGGTGTTCTGTTACCCTGGTAATGATAACGGAGCAGTGGCCGGGCCAAGGCCCCGGTATCACAAAGTTGGCCCGATAGAGTTTCTGCCGTACGGCCCACACGGCGATTCGCTTCAAGCCCACATGCCGAGGCAGCTAGGTTTAGGTAGAAGACGTTACCGTAATCCAGGCATCATTGAAGCTTGTTGTCGTTGCAGCTACTAAACAGTGCGAACATTCCACTAGGACTAACCTGCCGTGCTTTCCCGAGTGGCAAGACTACAAACCTCCAGTGATAAATTATTGTATGTTTCTCCATTCCTGGTTCCTTAGCTTGCCCCTCGCGATATGGATTTGCTGAGGCCCTGAAGGTGGCATCCAGACTTATAGGTCTTCGAGCACATAGGAAACGGTCCAGGAGACTCATCATTTTTGTGTAAGAGGTGAGGCGGGACAAGGTGCTCCTGACAGGTTGAGAGCTGCCTTAGAGCTGGTTGGGTAGGACTACTGTGCACATGCGTCGCCGGCTTGCCGATGCCATCAGCTTCTATAGGAAAGCATTCTATATTTGTATCACGCTGTTAGCACACTTCTTGCCTTACTTTTGTTGAAGTCGGCAAGCTCCGCATAACTGAGGGACCCTTTTTTTCAAACAAATTGCTGTGAATGCAGCTCTTAATGGCTGGAGGGTACACGACCCAACCACCTGACGGCCGCGCCCCACGGGGTCGGGCGCGCGTTGGGCGCATGGACGATGCCGAGCTGCTGGCCCCGCCTGAGGTCGCACCAGTGCAGGTGAAGCCGTCCGGACAACTTCTCGCAAACCTCTCATTTACACCACCATGAACCACTCCCATAAGGCGTTGTGCTCTTTCCGCCCTCCGCCCACATGACGCGTACCTCAATGCTTCCTACATAGTCTTACCGACAGCCAACACAGCATCACCTGCCCTCTTCCTCCTCCTCCTTTCTTTCCCATCTCCAAACTTCTTCCCTCCTAACCCTTCCCTCCATCCCTCATACGCAGCCCCTTCCTCCTACCACCTGGCCCCTCCCTCACCCTCCCCCTCTCTTTCCTCCACCTTCTCCCTCCCCCTCCCTCCCCCTCAGCTCACCCGAAGCATGTTCTCGCAGCCCGCCCCGCGGCCCCCGCCCGCGCCTCTCACCAACCACCACCTCAAAAAAGCTGCTCGGCTAAACGCCACAGCACCCACGGGTGCTGCCCCTGCCCATGCTGCTGGCGCCGGCGCCACTAACCCAGGCGGCTCCTCCCCCTCCGCTGCTGCTGCTGCTGCCCGGGCTCGTAGCGCCCGCAGCCTGCGTAGCGGCGGGGCAGCTAGCTCGGTGCGAGGGACCGGAGGTGGAGGCGGGCGGGCGGCGTTCAGTGTGGTGTCGGATGAGGAGGTCATTGACGTGGATGGTGGGTAGGGAAGGGAGCAGGGGGGCTAACAGGGATGAAGATTCCGCATTAGGAGGGAGTAGGGGCTGGGGTGGGCGAGGTGCGCGGCCTGGATGGATAACACATGGGTTTGTAGAGGAGGTCGGAGGTACAGAACGGTTATAAGCGCCGTTATTAGCATGTACGGCAGCTAGGGCTGCTCTTGCTGGCACTTTCTTCGCCCATCTTTCCCTCTCATCCCTCTGCTCCCTTCTCCCTCCTCCGCCCTTCGCCCCCATTCCTCGGCGCAAGGCACACCCCCCCTCCCGCCGCACCCTCCTTCTCCCCGCCCTCCCTGCGTGGTATCCTCCTCTTCACCTCTATCCCTCCCTCCCTCCCTGCCCCTTCCCGACCCCCTTCCGTTGCTTCACTTTTCATTATCCCTCCCTCCCTCCCGCCCCCCTCCTCCCAGGCGAGCCGACCACCCTGGCGGATGACGACATGGAGCTGGCCTCCCGGGGAGGAGCAGGAGGCGGGGGAGCAGGAGGCTGCTACGATGAGGGGGAGGAGGAGGCAGCGGTCGAGGAGGAGGAGGGGCAGGACGAGTTCGACACCTACAACCAGCAGCAGCACCTCAGCCGCTTCCAGCAGCTGTACGGCCCCCGCATGGGGGGTGCCATGTACGGCAGCAGCCACCACCAAAACCCACACCACCACCACCACCATGCAGCAGCACCAGCGGGAGGAGCAGGAGCCGGGCGGCCTGCCAGCCAGCACCGCTTAGCAGGCGCAGGAGGAGCGGCGGGGCGCGGAGGGCGGGGGGTGGGTGCCGGAGCACATGAGGAGTACGGAGGAGCAGCAGCAGCAGCATGCGGTAACGGTAACGGCTTCGGTTACCCCGCGCCCAGCTACGGTTACGCTTACGGAGGTGCAGGAGGTGGTGGTGGTTGCGGTGGTGGTGTTGGTGGTGTTCTGGACCCCCTGGAGGAGTTGGAGGCGGACACGCCGGCTGTGCGGCTGGCGGAGGTGATGGCGGACCTGGCGGAGGCGGAGGCGCAGGTGGGGTGGGGGTGGGGGTGGGGGTGTGGATGGGTGGGATGAGGTGGTGGTGGTGGGGTTAATAGGGATACATATTCCCCATTCGGCTGGATTGGGGGTGGGGTGGGGTGGGGTGGGGTGCAAGGAGGAAGAAGCTAACTATTTTACCGTAAGTGGTGTTGGTGTTGTTCTTGGTGGTGGTGGGTAACAATTACAAGCGGAGCCTGGGGATCCCAGTCCCGTGTCCCGACTCATGCGTAGGTGGTGGAGTGGGGGGGGAGCGGGGGCCACATGCAAGTGGGCGTATCTACCTCTGTACCCCGTCACCTACAGCCACTGCATCTCTCCCCACCTCCGTCCCCGCAGAAGGACCGCATTGACCCATGGGTCATTGTCAACCTGGCCTGCCACGCGCTGGGCCACGCCAAGGTGGTGTGGCGCACCATGCCGGTGGCGGTGCGGGAGGAGCCGCTGCTGCTGGCCAAGGCGCACTTCGCGTTGGCCCGGGCCTACCAGGGGGTGGGGTGCGACAAGCAGGCGGCGGAGCATGCGAAACAGTGAGTGGTGGGGGGGGGTAAAGAGGAAACAACTAACTGACTGGGGGATAAGGCGTCAACATGGGAGTGGGCGGGGGGGGTGGGGTGGAAATTATCGCTTTGCCAGTAACCCCATGAGTGCCATCCCCTCCCCCTCCCCTGCTTCCATTGTTTTGCCCTTACCTGTGGTTTCCTATGATTTGGTCTCTCCCTGACCCTTCCCTCCTCCTCTCTCTCTCCCTTCCCCTCCAGGGCGCTGGTGGTTATCCCGCCCGACAGCGCCGACAAGGAGGAGGGCCGGGGCCTGCGGTCGGAGGTGCAGGTGGGGGGGGGGTGAGGGGGGTGGGGAAGGGCTAGAGTGCGACTCGGGCTTCTTTGCTCACCCCACCACCACTGCTCCCCCCTTTCATCCTTTCCTGCCCTCCTCCCTGCCCGGTACTCACTCCTACAACCTTTCTCACCCTCCCCTCTCCCTTCACTCCCTCCTGCCCCCTCCCGCGAAATCTTCATCCTTATCAATCCTCCTGCCCCCTCCTGCCCCCTTCCCCCCCCCAGATCATGCGCGCCGAGTCGCTGCTCGCCTCCGCGCAGCAGCCCGGCGCCCCCCTGGCGGCGGTGGCGGCGCAGGCGGGCAAGGCGCTGGCGCTGCTGGTGCGGGCGGCGGGGCTGCAGGAGCCGGTGGCGTGGACGCAGGAGGAGGTGGATGCGGAGGAGGAGGCGGAGGAGCTGGCACAGCTGGCGGGGGGCGGGGGGCGGGTCAAGCGGTGCACCATTAATGAGGTGTGTGGGGGGTGGGTGGGTGGGTGGGGGAAAGGGGGGTCAAGGGGAGACGGTGGGGGGAGGGGTGTGTGCTGTTCGTTGTTGGTGGCTCACGCGGAGTGTGCGGCCCACGAAACAGCCCGGCGTTTGCTGAGCAACCCCGCAACCCCTCCCTCCTGCCTCCTCCCTCCTACCTGCCCGCCTCACTTCTCACTTCCTCCCCTTCCCTCCCCCTCCCCTCCCTCGCTCCCTCCCCCCCCCGCTCCTGTCCCTCCAGGTCACCGACATGGGTATCGCCGCCCTGATGGCCACCTGCCACGGACTGGTGGCGGAGGCCAAGCTGAGGGGGGCGCAGGGGGAGAAGGCGGGTGAGTTTCGAGGGGGGGAGAAGGCGGGAGGAGCAGGTGTGGGGTGTGGGGTAAGGGTTAGGAGAGGCGGGGGGGCAGTGTGGGGGGTGGGGGGCAGTAGGCACTTGCTTGTGACCGCAACCCTTGCCCCCCCTTGCATGCATGCTTGCTACCGACTTTCCCCGCATGTGAACCGGTGTGTTCATGGCATGAAGCGGCACACATCCGGTGAAGCACTCTTCCCTCCCTCCCTCCACTCCCCCTCAAGTCACAATCAATACACAAACCTGGCCCCTCTTCCCCCCCACCCCCTCGGGGTCTGTACACCCATCTCTGCCACTACCGGCAACCCCATGCAATCCCCAATCCCCTCCCAGTGCCGAACATCCAACCCGTCTTAACCCGCCCACCGCCCCCTCCCCCTCCTCCCCCCCAAAGCCGCCACCAACTCGCTGCGCTGCGCCGAGGACGCCGCCTCCCGGCTGGAGCGGCGCACGGAGCGGGGGGACGCGCTGTACTCGCCGGAGCAGCTGGACAAGTACCGCCTGCAGGAGCGGGCTTTCAGGTGGGGGGCAGGGGGAAGGGGAGGGGGGGGGGGGGAGGCGGTAACAATGAAGAAAACTGAATAACTGGAGGTGGGGGAGGAAGGGCAGGGGAGCTTGCTCCGTGGTGTCTCCCCCCCCCCCCCCTTGGTATGCCAGGTATGCCTTCCCTCATGCCTTCCCTGCCGTACGTCCCACCCGCCACTCACCCGCCACCCACCCACCCCGCTGCAGGGAGGAGGCTGAGCTGCACGAGGGTGAGGCGGTGCAGCTGGGCGGGCAGGCGGAGGCGGCGTACGACGCGGCGGTGTACTGCTTGAACCACGTGCTGGATGTGGAGGGGCGCAGGTGGGGGGTTGGGGGGGAGGGAAGGAGGGGGGGGAGGGGGGGAAGAAGGGGGGTTCTGTTGGCAGGCGCCGCACTGCCCACGTGCCCTGCACGGAGGGTTGCTCGTGATCCCCCGGCCGCCGTGCCGTGTGTGGTGGGGACCGCGCCCAGGGTGTCCCCTCCTGTGCCACCTCAGCGGTGCTGCAGGCCTGGGGTGCTGCAGGTCTGGGGTGCTGCAGGCCTGAGGTGCTGCAGGGGTCCACCCGCTGTAGCGGGTTCCTGTTGGCCTCCCCCCGCCCCCTGCCCCCTTCATCCATCCATATCCCCCTCCATCCGCAATCTCTGTTCTCTAGCCCAGCGCGGAAACCCCCCTCCCCCCTCCCCTCCCCCTCCCCTCCCTGCCTTCCCCCAGGCTTGAGGAGGAGTTGGGTCGCGAGCGCAAGCAGGCGCACCCCACCTTCCGGGCGCTGTGGCGGCGCTCGCTGGACCTCATGGCGGGGCTGGGGGAGGCGTATGGTGAGGGGGGGGGATGAGGAGGGGGGAGGGAGGGGGGAAAAGAAGAATCCCAAGGTGTTTAGGGAGGGGAGGAGGGGAGAGGGGAGGGAACCCCCTCCATCCTCAGCTCGTCAGTCGCCTCGTCAGTTTCCTGATGTTTACCCCCTGGCCCCCCTCCCCCCCCGCCCTCCCCCTCCCTCCCCCTCCTCAGCCCTCCAGGGCAAGCAGCCCGAGCAGCTGCGCATCATCGAGGAGGTGCTGTCGGCATTCGCGCAGTACGGCGGGGGCGGCTGGCTCCCCCCCGCACGACACATCCGGGCGCTCAAGGACAAGGGGGCGCTGCTGGTGGCGGGGCGGGAGTATGTGAGTGAGGGGGGGAGGAGGGGGCGGGGAGGGGGTTGAAAGTAAGGAGATGACGAGTGGGGGGGAGGGGATACGGTAGGGGGGGGGGTCAGGGGTGTTGGGTTTGGGGGTGTTGGGTTTGGGACGGATACTCCGCTGGTTGGGTGATGTCCCCCACCCCGCCTCCACCCCTGGTCTGGTTTGCATTCTCGTTCAACGCATTCGGGAATTCTCTTCTTCCCTCCCCCCCCGGCCCACCCCCTTCCCCCCCCCCAGTCCGCGGCGCTGGAGTGCTACAAGGAGCTGACTCGGGTGGTGGCGGAGCTGTTTGCGGAGGACGGAGTGAGGAGGGAGGTGCAGGTAGGCGTGTGTGTGTATGTGTGTTTGTGTGTGTTTGTTTTGGGGAGGGGGAGCTTCGTCGGAGGCTCTCCCAACAGGGGGTCGATACGATGCAGCCACCCTCTTCTTTACCCCCCTTTCCCTCCGTCCCTTTCTTGCCCTTTCCCCCTTCCATCCCCCCGCTTCCCCCCCCGCTTCCCCCCCCCCCTCCAGACTGCCGAGGTATTGAAGCTGCGAGGGGATGTGGAGCTGGCCTCGGGGGACTTCAGGGCCGCACAGCACATGTTCAACCAGGTGAGGTGGGGGGGAGGGAGGGAGTGAGGGATCTGGTTGGAGCCGCAGGGTGTGGCCCCAGGGTTGCCTACGCCCCGCACACTCACCCCCCATGGTGCCGACCCCAGCCTAGTGTGGAGTATCCCCCCCTGCCCCCCCTGCCCCCCCCTCCTCCCCCCCTCCTCCCCCCCCCTCCTCCCCCCTGTGGCTTCCTATGGTTCGGTATGGTCTTTGACCCCCCCTCCCCCCCTCCTCCCCCTCAGGCCCTGGAGCTCTACCAGCGCCACCTGGGCGAGCACAGCGGGGTGGCGCAGGACCTGCTGCACCGCATTGACGAGGTCAAGGCATACCTGGCGGGTGAGAGGGGGGGAGGGCCGGGGGGGGGGAGGGGGGAGGGGAGCTGCATACACCGTGCACATACACACACACGCACTTACACGCGCACACCATACAAATTCCGTTCCTTCTCGCGGCCAGCTAGCCTTGCTTAACACACACGCACGCGCGCACACCCAGCCCTCAAGTCCTCAGCACACACACCGCGAAGAACAATGATGACTCTGACCGCACCATCACCACTACGGCTACTCGCTACCCACCACCCACAACACCCCAAACACCCCTCCTGACCTCCTCCCCCCCCAACTCCCCCCCTGTCCCCCCCATTCCTCTCTCCCCCCCTCCCCCACCCCCCTACCAGACGCCCGTGTCATGGGCCGCCTGGCCTCCTTCCCCGGCCGCTCCGCCACCCCCCCCTCCGCCCCCGCCTCTTCCGCACCTCCGATTGCTGCGTCCGCCGGCTCCCCCGCTGGCGCCTCCCCCTCCCCCTCGTCCGGGGGGGCGGCCGGCCCCTCGCCGCGACCCCCCGGCTCCTCGGTGGCCTCACGGTGAGGGGGGGAGGGCGGGAGAGGCAGGGAAGGGAGGGAAGGGAGGGCGGGAGAGGCAGGGAGAGGGGTGCAGGGGCAGGAGGCGCATGTGACCCGCAGGAGCCGCACACAGCGCCACTTCCCCGTGCCGTACATCCGGTTTCCTTGCACCTTTTCCCATATTCCTGCCTCCCCTTCTCCCTCCCCGCCCTCCCCCCCCGCAGCTCTCCCCCCGCCACCTCCACCGCCAGCGCCCAGCGCTCCATCCCGCCCCCACCCGGCGTCGGCAGCACCTCCTCCCTCTCCGCCACCCGCCCCACCTCCACCGCCGCCTCACCCACCCCCTCCGCCGCCGCCGCCGCCGGCAGCAGGGGAGTGGGCAGCACTGCCGCCCGCGGCTCCTACGATGGTGCAGCCCCCTCCCCCTACAGCCCGAGCACCATCACCACCACCACCGCTGCTGCTGCTGCTGCCGCTGTCGCCTCCAGCCATGCCGCTCACCCTCACTCTCAGCAGCAGCAGCAGCAGCACCCCAGCCCAAGCAGCTATCTGGGCAGTGGCGGCAGCAGCCCCAGCCCGGGAGGTCATGTCGGCAGCAGCCACGCCAGCAGCCGGCATGCGTGGGGGGCTGGTGCTGGTGGTGCAGCGGAGGGGTACGGAGGAGGAGGAGGAGGTGGAGGGATGAGTCCGGTGGGCAGTGCAGGAGGGGGAGGGGGCATGCGGTTGCCGGCACTGGCGTCCAGCCTGTCGCGGGGGGCTTTGATGTGAGAGGGGGGGAGCTTAGGAAGCTGTTACATGTGATATGAGGGGGGGCTACAGGAGGTGAGGGCGAGGGCGCATGGCCCCCGGGAGGTGGACGTGAAGCAAGGGGGTGGCAGTTGGGGGTGGAAGGATGGGAGAGCGGGGGACGAGGAGGGTGGGCAGGGTGGGGGGTGTGGGGGGGCCTGACGGCATGCGATGCTGAGGGTTGAAGGAGGGCACAGGGGTTGCGAGCCGCTGTGGCTCGGGCGGGCGGTTCGTTACACATAGCTTGCAAGGATCGGATACGTTGCGGAGTCCGGTTGATGGCTTCATGGGCGGCTTGGCGAGCAGTTGGGGGATCCCTCTCGCTCGCTCGCATGGGGCGGGGAGGTGTACCCACTTGGGGTGGGGTGGTGGGGGTGCGGATGGGTGGGTGGAGCTGGTGAGAAGTCTGGGAAGCCGAGTGGCTTGGGCCTACCGCCACCTCCTCGGCCACCACCAGGAGGAGGAGTGTACGGATCTTCATTTGTTGGGTGGGGCTGTTGTGAGGGTGATTTGCCACTGCCGGTACCGGTAGCAGCAGGGGGAGGAGGAGGGGGGAAATTATATAGTGGAACAATGAGTCCCGATCCCATATCCCGACTCATGCAGTGAGCGCATTCGGAGACACTATTCTAGAAGGAGGGGGAAATGGGGGTGCGGAGGGAGGTGCGGTCCGCACCCCCGTACGTTCTAGTGTCAACCAGAGGTTGCTGTCGCGCGTTGTCCCGCGCGGGGGTGGGGGGGGGATGGGGGGGCTGTGTGGTGGCATGACACATCATGGCACATGGCAACATGAGACGGGGTCCGCTGCAGGGTTCCATGCAGGGGAGGGCGGGGCAGGGGCGGGGGTGACGCAGCTGTGAGCCGCATGGAGTGCATCAGTCGCCTGCGCAGGTGCTGCTTTGCTTTGCGGGTATGCGGGCGCCTTTCCTCTCGCCCTTCCTCGCGCCGCGCATATTAGCAGGGGTTTGGACAGGAGTGCTGAGTGTGCTGGGGGCAGGGGGGGGGCGCCGGTCGTCGGCAGGATTCCCGCTTAGGACAGACAATATGCATTCTTGTTGTTGGAAAGGCGAGTCAATGGAGGGCTCTCACATGCCCATCGCTATTCATGGAGGCGGGTGCAAGGAGGCGTGAGGAGGTGGGTGAAGGGGGTTGGCAGGGGGCTTGTGTTAAGAGAACTGGCTTGTGTTAAAATAACTGGCCGCGAGGCGAAACGTACTTTTGTGTGTGCGTTGGCAGGCAGGCAGGCGGGCAGGCAGGCAGGCGGGCGGGTGCGCAGGTGACGATGCTGTGCCTGGGGGCGAGGTACGGCAGGGGGTTTGCGTTGCGTCAACATCCCACGGAGCAAGCGGCAACAGTTGGCGAACGATACGGAGGAGGAGTCACGGAGGTCGGTTTGCTGCTGTATGGGCTCGTTGGTTTTGCGTGCCACTGGGCAGGGATGTCCTTAGGTAGCCCTTACTGAGCCCCACTGTTTATAGCATTGGTGAAAACCGGGCAGGATGGCAGGGCACGGGGGCAGTTAGTGGTTGTTTTGCGAGAAAGAAGCGGCGGAGGCGGAGGCTACCCTGGAGGCTGGCGGCAGGGCTGGCTGAGGCTCCCCTCCTCCTCCCCCTTGTTGTTGTGAAGAGGAGTTGCGAGAGGAGGAGCGGGTCTGATACATGACATGGCAAAGGTGGCAACATGTGCTGTGGTGGATTGCCTTCTTGTGACCTGTTCAAGCGGATGGGGGTAGCGGACATGATGGCCGACAAGGAGGGGAGCAGGAGGAGGAGGTTGACGGGCGGTTGTGGGGCGCTTTAGGGCCCTGTGTGTATCGCATATCCCAGCGGCGTGAAGGGTGCCGAGGTGATGTGAGGATGCGAGGGAGCATCCGTTGGGCGCCGTACCGAATCCTCCATCTTGTGAGTGAGTGGGCGACCGGTATATGGCTTGATGATGATGATGATTAACGAGAGCCTCTCCCGGCTTTCTTTGCTGGTGTCCCGAGCTCTGGCAGATGTATTGTTAGTTTGTTATAGTTGTTCACATTGTTCAGTGTCTGCTGCAAAGAAGAAGTAAACATTGCTTGCATTAACAAACGCCTTTTGTGGAGCTCTGGGGCGGCTGGCTGGGTAAGCCAATACATGACCTGTGAGCCGAAAAGGTATATTTGCCCAAATGTAATAACCCAACTATTTATTAACAAGCGTACCGAAATTTGCAAAACACCCCTAATAACAGCTCGAAGCCAAAATCGCTTCGACCCAGGTGACCCATGGTTCGCGGCTTCCCGGATTGCTCGAAAGGAGCAATTGCAACTAGATGTACACCGCAGACCTGCTTTCTGAAAGGTGTGCAACCAAAAAACAGGTATTGAATGCAGCATGCGACAAGCCCCTCTTAATGGTGATGACACATCCCCCCGGTACGTCAGATAGGCATGCTCCAAAACAAGCCTATCGGAGCAAGCGCCTGGGCACAACTAAAGCAGCAACCCAAGTCACACCAGTATTGCGATATACTACAAACACTCTGGGCTCACATAGGCGCCGGAGCCCCTTCATCCTGTCAGTATCCTCCTCCACGACAGCCACGTCGTGACGAGCCACTGGGTCAGCATCCCGATCGAGCCCGGCACAAGCCCGCAGGCGGCAGCAGCAGCAGCCATCTGACCGCCTTTTCTTCTTCTTTCGTGTTTGTAGCTTGGATCTATTTGCGCGCAATACTGCAGTCTTTCATCCCACCGGTGTTACCTGTAGCTGTGCGTCTGAAGGCGTAGGGTGGTCAGGTGAGCGGTGGCTTGTTATCACCCCAGGAATGAATGGTGGGGCGCTTGTGATACGGGAAGCAGGGAAATGGGGAATGCGACCCAAACACTAGGATTTATCGGGGCACAAACAAAGGAGAGGGGTGCGCGGCGGCCGGCCAGCAGTCATACCGTGTAGCGCTCTCGCTTAGCTGAGAATCCTTACATAAATGCACCATAAAAAGTCCTGGGTACCTACGCAAATTGAATATGTCACGCGGCGCTTTTCCGATAACCCCGCAGGCCTGTTGGACCCGACTACCCGCAAGGTATTTGAACCAAGCAACAATGGACCAGTCAATCATGAAGCCTTCCGACGCGGGCACGCAACCCCAACAGCACCTTCAGGACCGCCAGAGCGGAACGCGAAACGTTGTAAAAACCGAACGGCCGCCTCTTGGACTGGAAGAGCACTACGCTGCCGGTGGCGGCAGCATCCTCGACGGCAGCCGCGGCGGCGGTGGCCAACCCCATGACGGCGATCCCTCCGCCATCATGCACCGCTGGACGGCGGAGGCGCCCGCGAGCCCGGAGGCCGTGGCGGCGGCGGCGGCAGCGGCGCGCAAGTCCGTTGAGGAGCGGTTGGAGTCGCCGCCGCCGCCGCTGCTGCCGTCAGAGCAAGGTACGGCCGCTGAGGTGGCTGCTAAGGCGGCGGCGGCGAGGGCGCCCCCCGCGGCTGGTCGTCCTGCTGAGGAGGAAGCGGGGGCCGCGACAACGGTAGCCAGGGAAAGCGAAGGGAAGGGTGAAGAAGGTGGGAAGGGAGGAGCAGCAGCAGGAGGAGCAGCACAGCAGCCGTCCGTGCGTCCGCTACCGCCGCAGGAGGACCCGACGACGGCGGCGACTCGACGGGACAGCGCTCGCGCCTCCGCGGCGCCGCTGACTCCGCCGCCGTCACCGCTGCAGCTGCCAGTGCCGTCCGAGCAGCGGGAAGGAGAGGAGGACGCAGCCCGGGAGGCAGCTCAGGACAAGACTGCGGGCGGCGGCGGCACTGGTGACAGCGGCGGCGGCGCCGCTACACCTGACGGGACGCCTCCGCACATTCCACATGAGCAGTTGGACGCCGCCCGGAGACTGCTGGGGGCGCTACTATCGAGCACAGCTTCTGCCGGCGGCGGCGGCGCTGGCGGCGGGGAGGCTGCACCGTCGGCGGCGGTGTTGCCGTCAGCGGCGACGGCGGCGGGTGGCGGCGGTACGGCAGCGGGGGCGCCTGGGGCTGCCGTACCAGTGCCGCCTGGAGAGGGTGAGGCGGAGACGCAGGCTGGCACGTTACGGTGGCGGCTGGACGCGGCTGGAGGGGAGCTGAGCTGGGACGTGAGTCGGGTGGCGGGGGGCCGGTAGGAGCGGAAGGGCCCGCAACTTAACCCCGCATGTATCGCTGTGCTTGCTTGGGTTTCCTGATGTCGATGATGGCGTGCCGCTCTGGTGCCGCTAGCAGCATGTTTACATAACGCAAGCTGACGAGGGCTCTTTGTTACTGTGCGTTGTGGTGGTGGCTGTGAAGGACCTGGATGTGGGCAAGTGACCCGTGGGTCTGCAATTACTTGGCGCAACATGCCGCGGCATCGTCAGCCGTGCGACCCTAACGCACTTTCACTCCATTTGCACCCACGTACGGCAGCTGACTGTTGCCTTTGTGCCGGCGGTTGGGGGTTTACTCCATGGTTCTGAATGTTGGGAACTATCCGAGCCCCAATCCACGCCCCTTATGTCAACCTTTCCCTGCAGTTTAAGCCCCCAAAGGCTGCTGGCGGCGAGGGTGGCGGCGGCGAGGGGATCTCCGCCGATGCGCCGCCGTCGCTACCCTCCGGTGCTGCCCGCATTCCGGCCGCCGCTGTGGCTGCCCAATCAGCCCCTGGCGGCGGCGGCGGCGGCGGCGGCGGCGGGGGTGCAGCTGACGTCAGCATGTCTGGCGGCGGCGAGCCCGGTACGGCAGGAGGCGGCATTGAGGGCGGCGGCGGCGGCGGGGGTGCCTTCCGAAGCATGTTTGGTGGCTTCGGAGGCAGCAGTGGTGGTGGTGGTGGAGGTGATGGTGGTGGCGGGGCGTTGTCGCCGGCAGCAGCGGCAGTGGCAACCTCGGCAGGTGGTGTTGCGGATATGGATGTCGATAGCGGCGGCGATGTGACAGGTGGGCAAACATGCCTGTTTACGTATTAGAAGGGGAGGGGTACGGTA